GCACCATGCAGAGACAGCATATATCATCATATATTTTTCCCCTTCTTCAGGTTCATTCAGCAAGCAAAGATGACGTTGACAAAGCGGTGCAAGCAGCCAAGAAGGCATTCTATCAGGGTCCCTGGGGCAGCATGAATGCCAGAGACAGGGGAGCACTTCTGTTCAAGTGAGTGCTTGAAGTCTGTAAAGTAAATTTGGTGACAAAAGTAGGATAATGACATTAACTTCAAAAAATGCAAATGTATAAAATCTTTATAGTAATACTTATTAATTTTATAATTTATTAGCACATCTTACCAATAGTGATCCGACTTAAAAAGAAGAAAAAAGGGAATTGGATAATTTTTTACTTCCATTCACCAGATTGGCTGACCTCATGGATCAACACAAGGAAGAACTTGCGACCATTGAGAGCATCGACTCAGGTGCTGTCTACACTCTGGCCCTCAAGACTCACGTTGGCATGAGCATTGACACTTGGCGCTACTTTGCTGGCTGGTGTGACAAGATCCACGGCTCGACCATTCCTATTAACAATGCCAGGCCGAATCACAACTTGACCATTACAAAGAAGGAGCCAATTGGGTAAGGGACTTGACACACTCCATTGATGTATAATATATCTCTAATTATATCTGTATTTAATGTTTTTTTCTGTTACATATATCTCTCTAACTATATCTATATCTATTGGTTTATTTTTTACATCTATCTGTCTAACTATATCTATATCTTTTATATATCTATATCTCTTTTTATATCTCTATCTAATTATTTCTGTATCTATTGGTATATCTCTTACATCTATGTCTAACTATATCTATATCTATTGTTTAATCTTTAACATCTATCTGTCTTACTATATCTGTATCTTTTATACCATATATGTCTTATATCTATCTAACCATGTCTATAACTATCTGTCTATCTCTTTCTACATTTATCTATTTGTCTAATTATATATATAGGTTGATATTTTTCTATTAGAAGGTGCTATTCTTGTGATATCCCATACTTAATCTCCACACAAGTTTAGTGTTTTATTATCAAACCATAATTAACAGGTACCTTACTGGTTTGCATACTTTACGGATTTGTTTCTCACTGTGAATGTTTTATACTTGTTTACCCATACTTATATTTCCTGTTCTTTTTGTTGATGCCTCATTACTTCACTCTTTATGAATTTCAAATTTTCATGTAAGTTATTTTGTAACTTTTTGAATAAGCTAGTGGTTGTTTATATAAAGTAAGAATAGTTATTGTGTATACACCGTGTATTTCATGAGCCATATTGAACAATTTTCAGTATTAAAGATTTATTAAATCCATCCAGTTGGTACATTAACATATGCAATATGCAAATGAAATAGATATACAAAATGTTTTCAGACATTTTTACAGACCCACTGTAGCTTGAAGTAGCTGTATGTTCCACACTGCATAATGTTTTTGCTTGTAATGATTATGAATTTAGAAAATACTTTTCATTTTCTCGGAATATTAGTAACAGTATCATATTACCCATACATTTCCTTTCTCTATTATTATTTTAGTGTCTGTGGCTTGGTGACCCCATGGAACTACCCCTTAATGATGTTGTCTTGGAAAATGGCTGCCTGTCTTGCCGCTGGTAACACCGTCGTCATCAAACCAGCCCAGGTGTCTCCTCTCACAGCACTCAAGTTTGCTGAGCTCTCTGCAAAGGCTGGCATTCCACCTGGTGTAATTAATGTTCTCCCTGGAACTGGTAAGATTTTATGTTCCTGTTGGAAATATGTAAGATTGTCAGCTGAACTTCATGTTTTAGATAATGATGGATGGTGTAGATAAAAATGTTTGGTGATAATCTATGCCTTAGATGAATATTATATTTAGTGTCAGGACATTAATTTGTATTTCGGAAATAATTGTTAAGGAGTCTGAAAGGAGTTTTGTCAGTATTTACAGTATATGATGCTTTAAACTACAAGTATTGATATCAGTATTATAACTGCACAGGTAGTGTTTGTGGTCAGGCCATTGCTGATCATGCCGATGTCCGCAAGCTTGGCTTCACTGGCAGTACAGAAATTGGTCAGGTGATCATGAAGTCTTGTGCCGTCAGCAACCTGAAGAAGGTGTCCCTCGAACTTGGAGGAAAATCTCCCTTCATCATCTTCAGCGACTGTGATCTAGACAAAGCTGTTCGCATGGTTAGTTTCTTCTTTGTCCTCTTATTCTGAAATGCAAAAGATACGTTTGTTATTAAATACAAAATCTTAAAGACAAGGAAATGTGTGTATATGTTTGTAATTTTATACATGACACTTTATAATTTTTACTCATAGTTGAGATCATAAATACATATGTTTTTTTGTTCTTTTCCAGGGTATGAGCAGTGTGTTCTTCAACAAGGGTGAGAACTGCATTGCTGCTGGAAGACTGTTTGTAGAAGACGCTATCCATGATGAGTTTGTTGCACGTGTAATTGAGGAATGCAAGAAGATGGTAAGTAGCTGTTTGTGTATTTTGCTCTCTTAATATTGACTTAATGTTTAATCATAGTTTTAGTTTAGCTGTAGACAATAGAATTTATCACTGCTTATAGGAAACTGCATGGTTATGCTTGAAAAAGTGATCAGAGAACTTACCACAATTCTGTTTCTTCATTCACCAGGTGATTGGAGACCCTCTGAACCGTGGCACAGCTCATGGACCCCAGAACCACAAGGCACACTTGGACAAATTACTTGAATACATTGACATTGGCGTGAAGGAGGGTGCAAACCTTGTCTATGGAGGCAAGAGGGTAGATCGTCCTGGCTACTTCCTTCACCCAACTGTGTTCACTGGAGTTGAGGATCACATGTTTATTGCTAAAGAGGAGAGCTTTGGCCCCATCATGGTCATTTCCAAATTTGGCAACGGGTAAGTTGGCATTGGTGCATCATGGTTTTGTGCGTGTGATGCTAGATGATAATGTATTACAAGAATTTCATTAATTAGTGAAGTGAAAATTAGAAGTTATTATTTTTACCTACATCATTATGAAAGTGGGGCACAAAAATTATTTTCCTAACTCTTTTCGTTAAATTCTTCCACCAGGGAAGTTGAGGAGGTCGTGGCCCGTGCAAACAACACAGAGTTTGGCTTGGCATCTGGAGTCATGACAAAAGACATCAGCAAAGCCCTCCTCGTCTCAGAGAAACTTGATGCTGGAACCTGCTTTGTCAACACCTATAATAAGACTGATGTCGCTGCACCGTTTGGAGGCTTCAAGCAGAGTGGTTTTGGAAAGGACTTGGGTGAAGAGGCCCTCAATGAGTACCTCAAGACAAAGACCATCACCTTTGAATACTAAGATAGCATGATTTCTCTTGTTTTCTTAATTTGAGTCCTGAGTTAAAGAGGTTGTTATACTTGCTTATCAGATGATGAGTTTGGGGATTTTCAAACAGTGTATTTCACTTGGTTAACTTGAAGCTTTTGTTTTAGGTACTTCCTACTAGTAATTAGTTTCAGGTGTAGAAAATGGATCAGATGTTATCCATTGTAAGATACCACCTTCAGAGCAGTGTCCCGATGAGCAAAATTCATTATATTATTTTAAAGTAAATTCCATAACATGAGTTTAAATCTTTTGTGGAATATAGCACTCATTTGCCTCACACTCCTGCAGCAAATGTTATTCTTTTCTAATGAAAAGGGAATGTGATAGGATAGCCTTTAGGCTTGTAAATAAAGATTTATATCTTTTGTATGGAGTATGAGATAAGGTGTGGGTTATATGTAGTTGTGATGTACATATTACATACATCTCACTGAAATTTTTTCCAAATTTGTGATTTTGGTAAATTGCTGTTGTACTTTTTTAAAGGATGTTAATGAATTTGAAGCTTGAATGTTATTACCAAAAGAACAGAAAATATACTTTATATGTTATATGTAATGATGACTATGCTGTAGGAATTTTGCAGTGAAGTTTGAATTTATATTTACACATTCATAACTTCATGCACCCAGAAGTGGTATGTGTATATGTATGTCTATACACATTTGTGTGTATGCAAGGGCATATTTATGCCTTTATTCATGCTAGTGTGTGTTTGATTTGTATGCACATTTGCTTTGTGCACACATGCATAAGTATATTCTGTATGTTTTCTCCTCATTTGTATTGGAATTTCTTTGACTGTATTTGAATTGTTTCTTATGAGAGTGTATGTGTATTGATGATTGATCTTTATTTCTCTAGGAAGCTGAGAGGAAGTTCCAAAATTATTTTTAAAATTCTTTCCGGTGTTTTTTTTGTGAGTGAACGCAAGAGCAGTTTGAGAGTAGTTCAGTATTTGCTCAGAAATATTAGTTTGGTAAAGGAGTGCTTTGATAGGTATGGACACTAGCAATGCGTTGTGTGACATGGGAGATGACAGTTTTTCTACCATTAGCTTGAAGGTACTGTGCACTGACATAAAGTTTCATGGAAATAGATGTGAAACTGATTTCTTACAGATTTCCACAGTAGAGTGTGGAAGGATATATTATGTATGGAATGACTATATATGTGATTTTTATTCGAAAATGAAAATTCATGTAAATTTTTAAAATATTTATGCTAACGTGGTGATTTTAGGTATTTTATAAATTAACTTTTAAAATTTCACTTTAGTGGAAGTGATTTTTTTTTTTTTTACTGATAAGCAGTCTGAAAGTCTTGATTGGAAATTGGAAGTAATGCTAGTCATGGTTGTAGGATTAATTTTGTAATACAGATGTTATTTTCTGATTAGAATGGAAATTGTTGCCAATGTCAATACTGAATAAAACAGTTGTTCCTGTTACTAATTGTCTTTCTTGTAAATACCTTTCAGTAGTATGATAGAAAGCTATGTGGACTTGCAGAAATATATATATATATTATATTATATATATATATATTATATATATATATTAATATATATATATATATATATAGTATATATATATATATTATATATATATATATATATAGATATATA